CACCCCGCCCCTCCCCGGTCACTGGATCGACACAGCTGCTGCCGCTGCGCTGCTATCCTTGCATAACAATTCTGCACCGCGTTTGCCTGGCGGGGGTCGTGCAGGTCTAGCCCACTATCGGTCGGTCGGCAGCCTCGCTCACCCGGGCACGCCACCCCGCCCCCGCAGTGCAGGCCAGAGTGATAGGTACGGAGATGTTCTGTACGCTGGCCATTTTTTCGAGGGAGATCGAATGGCTAGGGGGCATACTGCCCTTACAATGAGAGAGTGAGAGTAATAGGGGGGGAATGTGTGTGTGTGTGTGTGTGTCGCCCGTGGTGATGTAGGTGGCTTAGAATGCTGTTCTTAATTGGGTCATTCTCTGCCCGGCGGCCGCCTCTCCGGCCCGGGCTGCAGTCCCTCTGTCTCACTCGCTCCCACCGGCGGAGCCGCGCCAGCTGCCCCAGCTGCGCCCCTGGAGCGAGTGAGACGGAGGAGCAGGGGCGCCGCCGCGGGCCGCGGGGCGGTACAGCCTCCACGCGCCTCCACGCGCCCCGGGCAGGCGCGGCGCAGCGCGCAGCGGCGCACAGCACGGCCACTCCGATGATCTACGGTCCGCGGGGCGCGGCGGGGAGTGGCGGGGCGTGGCGGGGCGTGGCGGGGCGTGGCGGGGTGGGGCGCGGGGGGTAGGAGGGAGCGGGGAGTGCCCGATGAGCTATTGGCCCGCCAGGGCACGGAGGCACGGAGGACGCTTAAGGTGTTACTCAAGACGATTACTGGATGAGTTGCCAAAGCCCTTTCAATGCCAAATGATTATTATGCTCCTCGATCGCCAAAACTGATACACCGGCCGCCGTTACATAATGGCCCGGTAAAATGAATAGCAATGGGCGCATGGCGCGCGGCGAGTGCACACGGTCGATCAGCTGGTTGTGAGCGCGAGCCCCGCTGCCGCTCGTTAAAGAGCATCATTACGAGCATCAGTTGCAATGACATTAACCCGCCAAACTATGCGGAATGACATCATTGCCACCCCATATCGCATCAGCAGTGCACACACGAATCCGCCAAACTTTCTTCCGCTCTCCTGCGCGGAGAATGCTGGGTAATTTTCATAACATATATGTCGAACGAGCCCGTTCTTTATCGAGTCATCAAGTCTAGGAGAACCCGTTCCGTGGGTGATGTCACACCGTAAACGTCCCAACGTCCTGCCAATCATGATTAGAGGCTCTTTGGCCTGTTATTAGTGAACCCGCAACAAGGTCGATAGACGAATGGCTTTCCATCCACCTCATTTTAGGATGCCCACCGGTATCAACGAAATTATTTATGTTCCACGTGTCCGGCGTAAACTTGCGTAAAAGAATGCGAGAACAGCGAAATTAGCCCTAAAAACGCTAAAAGCTCAGGTGGTCGAGGTGGGCCGGCCAGTGATGACAACGGGGGCACATCCGGAACACAGCGGCGAGGTTGTCAATAAAACAAACTGATTAGGGGCGAGGCTCGATCGTTTTCACAGTAAAAAAATAGGGGGACACGGGACGAGGTGAGCTTGGTTCGATTTATGGTAACTCATCAATGATTCCCCATTAGTTTTATGCATTCGGTATGCGCCAGGGTCCTCACGGGCAACGATTGCAAGCTAATTGACCATCTTATGTGGTCAAGCATTTGGCCAGTCTAGGCTTGATTGTTGAAACGGAAGAAGTTCTTATGAACACACGAGTACAGCAAATATGAGAAGCCAAAGCTCGACGTCTCTTTTTTACAACAGAAGTTCAATTTTAGAGGGCTCTTATTGAGAGTTGCGTCTTTTAATTTCCTGTTTATAAGTAAGTTTGCTCGTTAAATTGGAATGGTCAGACTGGATTGAGTCTGAGAGGCTTTCGAGTTACAACTTAAAAAGGAAACAGCAAACAAAAAACACAAAAAAAAACAATTTGGGGATTGTGCGAGGTTGATCTTCCCGGTTGTCAGTGGTTGGCTTGCGCCGTGAGGGACAGGCAGCCCAACGCACGGCGCCCGCACTTGCGAGCGCACTGACTTGCCTCCACTGACGCGCCGCCGCCGTGCGGGTAGGCAGCCCATTCGTCGCGGAGATCGTGCCAGGAAGCTCCGCGGCGCCCCAAGGGTATAGGCAACTTATCTGGCACGTCTGCGCGAACAGGCAACGACGAAACACAAGGGGGAGAAAGGGGGCACACACATCCCTTATGAAACGCACAACACATTTAATAGTTTGTCTTGTCTTAAACACACAGGAACATTAGGATGAACAGGTACAACGTAAATAAAGAAGCGGGTCGATCGTTCCCGGGCGGCCACAACGGCCTTGCCGTACATAAGCAAACACTAGAACGGCTCTCGGCCCTTCGCTTTGGATCCCTGACGGACAGCTGACTGACGCTCGGTAAGCCGCTCGCCTCTTCTGCTTGGCATTCGCAGCCAGCCGAAGCATTATTTCGACTGAACAGAACACTCCAACAACACTCGAAAATCCACAGCAAAGTTAATTTTTCTCGCCCCACAATAACCAGTAGGGTCGCAATGTACAATGCACGACGGCTAGGACAGCCTGAGCGCCCACATGGTGATGGCGAGGTGCGGCGGCGGCGGCCGGAACACGGGCTGCCCGTCCAGGCCCAGGAACTCGTCGTACGGCAGGCCGCCCAGCTTGGAGAAGCCGAGGCGCTCCACCACCCGGGCCGAGTAGGCGCCGCTGCAGACGCACCGCACGAGCCGAAGGCCGCGAGCCCGAGCCAGCTCCCTGCGGAGAACATATTCCGGTGACATGGTTTGCTTATTTCTTTAGTTTAAATTATTATTATTTTATTTATTTTTAATTTTTGGTGTGGTCCTAATTTACTTTATGTGAGGCAGCAGGGCAGAGTGTGACATGGTTTGCTTGTTTCTTTAGTTTAAATTATTATTATTTTATTTATTTTTAAGTTTTGGTGTGGTCCTAATTTACTTGATGTGAGGCAGCAGAGCAGAGTGTGTAAAATAGTTTGCTAAAATAATTCTGTTGTAGGTTAATTATTGATATCCCCTCTCTCCTCAGCACTCACACTGTGTGGCGCATGAGCTCGGACGCGACGCCCTTCTTGCCGCGGTCTGGGTCGGTGGCCAGGATCTTGACGTCGAGCGCCTCCTGCACGTCGGGGTGGGCGGCGAACACGTCGTGCGCCAGCTCGACGGCGTGGTTCACCGCCAGGATCTTGTCGAACTTGGTGTCGCCGTCGCGCACCCGCGCCGTCTCGGGCGCGGGGCTGTCCGCCGGGGTCAGGATGGCGTTGAGGACGACGCCCTCCATGCCGCCGTCGCTCTCGTCGCGCGCGCAGAGGCTGAAGCCCGTGGGCACCACGACACGGCAGTACTCCTCCAGCTCGGGGCAGCCGCCGTCAGCGGACACCAGCCCGATCTGGCGGGGCGAGGCGAACACAAAAAAAACAACAACATTATTTCCTAGTTCTGTTTGAAACGGCCGGTTCCGTCGTCACCGCGGTTATGAGTGACCATTCGCGCATCACGTGGACGTTAGGCCCGCGCGTGGCCAACTTTGACGCGCATTATTTCCTGTGACGCTCGTTTCCGACACCCGCATGACAGCTACTCGTCATCTATTGTTACCATCGAGTCACTAACCATTGCGGTAGGGAAGGGGAGAGGAAACACTTATCAGGGGACTGGGAAATCCTATTCAGAATGTTTCAAGTACAAAAAATTAACTGGTAAACTGTACAACTTGACGCTTGAACTGGCGAAACTTGTAACTTTACTACAGTGGTAGCTGATGATACCGCGTGTAGTATCGCATCACCTGCTAAAAGTAAATCAGGAGGGTCTAAGGAAGGCCTCGTGATACTTTTTCCTGTTATGGTGTACCGTACAAGGGCGCACACGAGCGTGTTTGACTATACTGCAATTAATCATAGTGCCGTAGGACTGCAAGCCGGAGTTGTTGTTTTTTCGGCTCGATAAGTAAGGACGCAGCGCGTCCGTCAACACTCCCAAGAACGGGCCCTTTATCGAGCGGTAACTCTGTACAAAATAACAATCAGGGGCTCATGTAGGTAGAAACCATAAGGAGGGAGGAATAAAAGTTTAGAAGAGGCAGAGCCTCTGCTCAACAGTGCCATGCGATCCTTTCGGGACGAAAGGAAGCTAATCCATTTGGGGGTAGGGAGTGTGGTTTACTTTGGCTGAAAGGGCGCACGAATGTAAGCGGAGTAGATGGAGTGTGAAAAAGAGAGGCGCAGAGGGACGGGGTGGACAAAAAGGGGGGAGAGAGGGCGGAGGGGGAATAGAAATGGGCGCGGTGGGGATTTGTGAGTGCTACGGTTTGGGGGGTGGGGTG